GGAACTGCTGGGGACTCCTTGACTTGCTTTGTATTTGACTGCTGGGGCAGAAGGGATCCAACAAAAGCTTGTGTGAAGCTGTCCCTCAGGACAGCCTCTAGCTGCATAGGCAGCGATTACAGCTTAATTCCTGATACTAATTGGAATGTTTCCAAGGTATTGACACAAACAGCAATATAAAATCACACAGGTAATCTCGGCATTTAATTTAATCTGTATAGATGCACGGTGCAATCAAGCAGGGAGACAGAAGAACAGGTTTTTGGAGATGCATCTCTCTTTTTAAGAGAATCGGAAAGCTAGCACATTGAATGATGAAGAACACAGCTGAAGGCACGGTGTGTCCTTGGGCACTCCTCTCTCTTCTGCCAGTGCACAGATACGTTTCTACAGCATGATGTTTCCACAACTGTTGCTTTATTGCACCCTGCACTCTCTGACTTCCTCCATTCCACTGCCTGAGTGACATATATATAAAAGGGACTCCACTGGAGGCCAAGTGTATTGTCTGGGGATTTGTCCTTTCTTTTCAACACAGAACAAAACCTAAATTTCTTCCCCTTCACAACTTCACTGCCAAGACTATCACTTGAATATCATGTCTCACCTCCACAGTGACGTGCAGGATACACCAAATATTAGAGGACACGCCTGAAGAAAACTCCAGCCCTCCCAGTCTGTAGTAGGAAACTCACCATTACCATTCCCTGGTGACCAATGGGCATGCTGAGACAGTTGTTTGCATTTTCTATGCTTATTTTTCTGTTACTAAAGTGGGATTAACAGTGTTCAGTGACAGCTTTTGAGACCTATAAATTCTTCCTGTTATGGAACCGCATCATGAAGATCTATTTTTCTCTAAATTAAAAAAAAAATCTTTGATTAACTTATTATTCCAATGTAATTCTTGCATTCTTAGATTCTAAAATTTGCTAACCAAGCACATAACACAACAAGCATTTTAGACACTATGAAAATATTAGTAATCAGAACAAAATTGTTTCAGCTGTGGTTTTTGTGGTTTACTTTGTTCCCTAACAAATTTTGAGAAAAAAAATATTTTTTCTACAACCTTTTTCGCTTTCAAGTACTTTTTTAGAAAAAATCTATTTTCAGTACCACTGAAATTCATCATATTATGACAGGAAAGCAAAATTGTTTCATTTCATAAGATCTTCTAACAGCATGACGCTAACCCCATGGTCTCTGAGACAGAAATTCTGCCAGCTATAGACTTAAAAAGAATCAGCAGAGAAAAAGAAGTTTCTCAGATGGAACTGTTAGTCATGATATGAAGAATGTGTGTCCCCTACAGATGTTATAGCTATTTATATGATAAATCCCGATCATCACTATAGGAATTTTACAGCCTTCTTTTAAGTTAATGCTGAATTTCAAATTAATCTTCTTTTGACAATGTTTGCCTAATATTTCAGTGTTGAACAACATTTCCAGGGTTACATTTACAGTGAGCCTACTGGGCACTTTTAAAGCTGTATTCCAGACTTTGTACTTGCTTCAGAAAGACTTCTTTTAATTCTTCAATAGTTCACACATATTTCTAGGAAATGGGAGTACAATAAGCATTGATAAATGCTTAACAAGGGCACATCTAGACTTGCAAGTTAACTGGAATTAACATTAAGGTTAATTCAGAGCACGCGACAGGTTGTAGACCAACACACTGGAAGAAAATACTCATTCTAGAATAAAATTACCTCATTCTCACGTTCAACACTTGACTGTTTTGAGTAACATGAGATAAACGAGAACAAAGCATGTTTGTTCCAGTTTGTGGGATCATTGGTTTACTCAGCAATCACAGTCTGGGGAATTCAAAATGAAATGAGGGATATGAAAATACCTTAAGGTGTCTCCAAGGAACTGAAGGTTGCATAAATATAGAGTCATTGGTTTCAAACGGCAGCAGCCCTTTTAAAACCAACGCTACATTTACACTCTTCAAAGGCCTGTGTTCTGCAGAACGTGGTGCTACACAGGGCACTGCACCACCCCCAATACCAGAGAAAGGTTTTTTTACAAGGATGCCTCTCCCCACCCCCAACGCATCCTTCCACACCCTGCCTGTACCCTCCTGTTGACTCAGAGGCAGCAGGAGGTCTGGGCTTATTGTCTGGTTTTGGCAAGGGATGGCAAACTCTTTGGTGGGGAAAAAAAAAAAAAGTGATGTTTTATTTGGGTGATACATGTTGACTTGATCTCAGTATCTCCACTTCTCCTCTGCTCTCACATACGGGGAACAAAAGATAACCTCTAAGTGTTTGCACTATCTGACTATCAAGAAAAGCTTCTTCGTAGAAGAAGTGAGTACTGTCCCTATAAAGTGAAGGCTCCTGTACTTTTCACAAAGATAAGGTTTTTTTCAGCCTTGATGTTGCTGGCCATGAAACACAGTTTGAGGTTATCAAGTTTCAGTGATTTCTTTTCTCTTAAAATGCCATTTTAATTGTGTACTTAATCTGTTTTTTCTACTATCTTTTAACATCTATCCTTCATTGCTACCTGAAACCTGTGCTGAAAGAGGCAGCACTGATATGACCGAGGCGTTAAACCTCGGTAATTCTCAGTTCCAAGCACAGCGTTTGGGGCAAAGAATAAAATGAGACCAGGAGCCCAGGCTGGCCTGGCCAGCCACACACACTGGTGATCCACAATGGATCACCCGGTGAGGAATCTTCAACACCTTGGGGGTGGCCGGGGTCCCATGACAGGAAAGCCTGAAACTATTCCAAGCAAGGACTTCCCCAGGGATTTAGAGGAAAGGGATCACAAGCAGAAGATGAAAGGTTCTGCAGAAAAACAAGGAATAAATCTATGAAATTCCTCAGCCCCAGACATTCCCATACTGTATCCCTGATGGTATACAAAGTACTCCAATGTTCATGGTACCTGCTGATGTTGACACTCAGCGTAATAACATTAATCACCTGCTGCAGAGAACTCTGGTGTGTATCCAAAGAATATTTAGGTGCAGCAAAAAAAAGTGGAGCTGCAGAACATCTTGGGTCTTTTACTGCTCATTTACATTTATGTATTTTTTGTGTGGTCTCCTATAAATGGTCTTTACTTCCAAATCCTTTGGCAACCTCTGAGTGCTCTGTGCTCTTGGGGAGACAGAACTGCATCAGGCTTTCACAAGGCCAGAGATCTCGTCTTCTAAGAATAGTGCCTAAGGAGTGCCTTCAGAAGAGCAGGGCAGGGACACCAACTCTAGTCCTCTGGTCTTTGGGCAACTGCGCTTTCCAACATCCCTGTGTGAGAAACAGGAGACAGACTCTGCCCAGAACACGAACCCAAGCTCAAGGAAAGCAAGACTGTGGATCCTGCACAGATGAAGAGGAGATATTTAAGAGCTCGTGCTTACCCTACAGAGTCCGACCGCAGAGTCCCGGTGACACCTACCGAGCAGGTGTTTGCCATAGCTGCGATGGTGCCAAACTTTTATGGATACTCTGTGCTCCCTAGGAAATACCACACCCTTGCCTTCACTGTCAAGGGGAGCGGCACGCAAAATGGTACACCTAACAGGAGAGCTGCTTCAAAAGAGAAGGTCAGAAAACTGTTTGTAGCTTAATCCACCAAACAAATCGAAGTTCTGCAGACAACATTCTCCTCTCAACAGAAAAGTGAGACATCTGACATTCTGCTCCACACCATAGTTTTGGTGACTTTACAAAAAGAAAGGGGCTGATGGCAGACACTGTGTGAAGCCATCCCTCTATGTGAAACTGTTTTGTCAGGATCCAAGAAGCAATCTTAGCACAGAGTTCACTCAAGCAATATTTAAAGCAAGTAACCTCAAACTCACAGACTAAAATCATAATAGAAGCAAGATGACTCAAGTATACAAGATGTAGGAACAGACTATGTAAATGCTTCCTGCTGCAGATTTCACTCCCATACAGTTCCAAAGATAAAATCTAATGTGGAAAGAAAAAGCAACGTAATGCCTCACATTTCAAACACAAATCATGTTGTAACCGGGAGAAAGGAAACATGCTATTTCATAAATACTCTGTTAAATATATATTGTAAAATTCATATCATTGTAAGCAATTATAACCACTGCATTAAGCAAACCATATAGAAGATAACATTGGCCTAAGCACAAAATTGTCATAGTAGTATCAGGTTTTCTGCTTGAAACAGTCTTTTTCATCTTAACAAAAAATGTATTTTGAATTACTTTTTCAGGCAATGGACATTTCAGCTGGTTTTAGGACAACAGCCTATTCCTAATTTACTATTGTTTAGCTTTAAGGAACACCCAGGAATAGTTAACTGAATAAATAACAGTCTGGTATTAGGACCTCTGTTTCTTCCCCAACTGTTCCCCTGTTTGCTGTTCTGTGTTTTTTGTCTTGTTAGATACACATTAACCTGTTAGACTGACCTTCACTTCCCTCCCAATCCCTACAACACATTAAAATTCTTTAAAAAGACAACTTGAGAGAGACTGCCTTTTGGTAAACCTCCTAAAGCAAGCTCTACAGACTGGTCTGGCATGCGTTGTGTACATGCATCTGTCACGAAAATTTGATGACAAATCATCTGTTTCCTGACAGATAGGCTGCACTGACTTCAAATTCCCATGAAATGTCTTTGTCCACCAGGAAGAAAAACATTCTCCTTTAAAGCAGTGATCGTTCTCAACCTTCACTTCAATCCTCCATTTGCTTTAGTCTGTATTATCATTTATTTGTACTATAATTTTTCTGGATCAATTAATGCCTGTTGCAAGATACATCTTCCTGATCATCTTTTGGGAAAATGTAAAGAGAAAGGAGCTAATGAAAGGAATGAAAGCAAAAGTTTCACAGTAATAATGCTGTTTTCAGAGGGTGAGAAATGAAGATCCTTTTTAAGACTGACCTACCCCAGTTTGTTTAAAACTAAACTGAACTTGAACTGATAAACTACTCTTTTGAGATTAACCTGAATAGTGTACATTCAACAAAACACTGTAAATCTAAACATACCTGAATTGGAGTCAAACTTTGTTTCTGACCTGCAAAAGAAAATAAAAAGAATGTAAGTTACAAGAACTGCTTTATGCCATAAAAGCCATTTGTCAGACTGATCGCCCCCCAGCAAATATTGTCTTTAACAAGACTAGCTACCTCTGCACGTTAATATTTAATGCATTCAAGGGCATTTGAACCCAAATAATAACTATTATCTTAATATTTGGGTGTTTTTTACAATGTAGAGTTACAAAGAAGATATTTTAAAAGACAAATCACAAAATGAATGCAGAAAATAGAATATAAATTTAAAACAGGATTAAATTATATGCTGTGAATCATGGCACACAGTTGTTCCTATGAAATAAATATTGTTTTCATTCATTTTCATTTTTGAAAAGTCATTAAGAGGATTTAATTTATTCATGAATGTTTCCAATCTATTTTTGAAGCAGATACCGTTTCATTAATGTCATATGTATTGTATCCAATGATCTGTACTTAATTGTACAACATCCTAGGAGGGTTTTGTTTGTGTGTGTCTTCAATTTACTCACTCTGCACATAGGAATAAATGGTTTGATTTTCTTAAAAGTGGAAAGCGGGGGGTGGGAGAGAGGCAGAGAGGAAGGGAGCCAGACCCAAATTTTAACTTGTTTTAAAGTCTCTGCAAAAAGACAATGATGTGTGCATTATGCACCATTAGCTTTGGTCGTGCACTGCAGATTTTTCTCTCTCTAACAAGTAGTGTTTTCTTCTAAGGGCTTAGCACTTAGCAAATGAACCCTATAACCTGTATATTTAATAAAAGGAAGAAAAAATTAGCCCTTGTGGGAACATCATGTTTCAGATATAGGTTAATAATACTTGTAAATGTAGAAGCCTTTGAAGATCTCAATTCAACTGTGGGAAAACTTAAGTTGGGTAATTACTCTCAAGATGCTGCTGATGTGCTGTCAAGCAGAATTAACCCTATGACTAGGCCTATCTACACAATTTGCTGTAAGACAGCATTGTCTATATCGAGCTCTCAAACCAATTAACGGGCATGTTCCAATCAGATTTATATTGCCCACTAACAATCAGTTGTACACATGGTCATGGCTGTCACAGCAGGACACAAGATCTGACCAGCAGGAGACCTGTTAAAGGATGTTACGTTGGCTGCAAAATGCATTTCCCCAGAAATTCTAAGGAGGAAGTACAATGTTGGATCCTTTTACATTGCATCAAGGAGGGGATGTATTTTGGGAAGTTACAGTCCTTCTTTTTTCAAAAATAAATTACCAAAGCTCAAGAACTAATTGCAGATTTTCTTCTTCTATTTTATAAGCTTGTACATGCAGGTACGTGTAGATGTATTTTACATGTACTCTCTATATTTTATATAATTGGCATTATAATCCCATACCAAAGAATTATGCTACAGCAAACAAATATCAAAACAATCATGATTTAAAAAATGAACAAGTTCACACTATTAGTTACAGTTAAAGCTGTCAGAAGGGGAACAACTCCCTTCTCCCTTCCTGCTCATTCTCCACCTTCCCCCGGTGCTCGCAATCTTTTATGTCTTAAATATAACTCTCAGGTGGTGAAAAGATAGAAGGGAAAAAACATAACTTATCTTCCTAATTGGTACTTACAAAGTACCACCAAAAGCACTGAACAAAGAAAGTTTGTTGCTGACATGCCTTCATGAATACCACCGCCAATAACTGGCCAGGCCACCAGCCCACACTCCTGTTTGGCAGTGTACTTCAGTTGGCAGGATAAAGTCCCCACCTTGCAAGAAGGGCGTGCTGGTAACTGGGGGGAATTCCACTGAGCTCCAGGTAAAGCCACTTGCTCGGTATTTTATTTGCAATATTCTCCTCTAGCTGCAGTACATCTGCCTAGACTGTTTTCTCTTGCTTATCCCTGTATCAGCAGCATATCTACCTACATAATCAGAGACAACATACAAATCTTACCCTCAGCATCTCTTTATCTGCATAATCAACTTCTCCCTGCCTAAATTCTAGATACTTGGTATTAGTTCGTCAAAGACCCTGGTTCTCAGCTTGCGTGGCTTGGCATGGACATATGCACTGCAACTTGTGGCATCAACAAACTGGCCCAGGGGCCACGATGGCAGAGAGTATGTGGGGAGGAGGGTCACAAGGGTCACTGGGCACTGTAATGAGTACCAAAGCTCCAAACAGTCATAAATTACTGGACAACAAATCAGGAAACTGATACGGAGTGATAAATGAATAGAACTTTGTCTGGCAACAGCAGAATAGCTATGAAAGCAAACACAACATGGGAGGTAGCACTAGGAGCCATCGAGGGGAGGAGGGTCACCTACGTTATGGTCACCGTGTCACCTTGGGAAAACAATGCAATATTTAGGACACAGTATTACAGAAATTGTTAAGAGATCTTAGAAAGGCACAGAAAAAAAGGGAGGAAAATAATGAAGCGGGTTTGGCAAAATGCAAACCATTAATTGGAAATGGTGACTGATCTTATTCATGAGCCCAAGCTCCAAATAACAAGGCAAGCTTCCAGAAAGAAAAATGCAGAAGTATTCCAATGTAAAAATTAATACCTGATGTAACTATCTAGGAATTTACGAGACCCCCACCATCAGGGAATCTGAGAAGCCCCCGAGCGTTAAGAACCTAGTAGTTCCTCAGGCAGCAGAAGGAGCAATGCTGGGCTTGCTGCTGCGTTGTGGCCAGGGGACAGACCCCGTGCTAATAAGGTGAAACTTCTCATAAGTACTTCCCAGAGCTGGACTTTCATAACGCCTCTCTCTCTTCCACCCTCATGTGGATTCTCTGTTATAATACATTAATATATATATTATTTACAATAATATTATCTGGTATAATCTAATAATATAGTTGAACTCTTGTTCAGGTCTCTCCTCAGAGAGGGCTTGAATGTGATCTCTCTCTTGATTTCATGAAAGTTTTAAAAACTTAATATCTTTGAGGTTTAATAGCTACTCCCCTGTCAAATTTGGCTGAAATTGGCAAGTAGATTAAATGATACAGTTTTATTATGAGGAAAGGATTTACACACAGACAGCACAATCATGTACTTACTTCCTTAGGAAGCCTGGTCAAAGATGTATTTTTAATCTTACTTTCCTAGACTACAGAAAAAAGATTGATTCACTGTTGATGGATGCTGTGAGAATTTCTATTCTGCACATTGATGAAAAGCCAAATTCAAAACAAGTATTTTAGCATCATGTTCATCAATGAGCAGTCTCTGTGTGAGTTCTGTCCAGAGTTTTTTTAATGTGAGTTATAAAGAGATAAATATAGAAGTATATAGCTTCTGTAGATCCACAATCCACCCTACCTGATACTTTACTTCAGACACATACATACACATAGTAAAGCATACAGTATGTTAAGACTAGCTGAAAATTAGCTTTCCCAAGCGGAGTGACGGATGAACAGTCAATACAAATCAGTGTGAATTTCAAAAAGGGGGTATTACATATCAGACCTAAAAGTTTACAAAGAATACATTAAATATCATTGAAATTCTTAGTAAAATCAGTGGAAGTTGTCTGTACATATCTCTAGGATTATGGAAATCTTTGCATTTATTTCCTCTTATTTCTAAGTACATTCAACAAGGATTTGTAGTTCAGCAATGCTCAGCAATAAGTAAATCAAAACAATTTCACAGGCTTGTCTCAATGAGACCTTGAAATATTTAAAACGTTACATTTCAAGTCCCCTTTTCCTTCTTTTTTGAATTCTAACACATATCTCCTAGGAAACCTACATCAATTTTCTGCCTTTTGGAAAGGATACTTGTTGAAGTGTGCTCTGCCTAGCAAACTGTGAGATTCCCCATATTCCTGTGCTTGTTTTCACTGCTGGAGATGGTCTTACTTGGAGAATACAAGCCAAAGGGAATCTCAGGTTTGCTGTTGTATTTCCTTGTAGCTGGCAGTCTCACCCGACCTGCTCCTTGCGCAGCCAGTAACCTTGGCCTGCAGTAGTTCAGACAGTGCCTTACTACATCTGCGGGCAGCAACCAGCCTAGTACAACAGAGCTGATCTACTGAAAAAACAAGACCAGGTGGCTTGTGGATCAAGGAAAGAAAATGAGATGAAGTGTTTTTTTGTTTTCCAAACTTGGTCTCCCTCTCCTAATCCTTAACATAAAAATCTTTCCAGACTTCATTGCTTATATGAGGTTAGTGAAATGAACATTCGGCACCAGCCAAGAAGCTGCCAGTTAGAGGATATTAAAAACTACCCATGAGCTGATTAGGAGTGCAGAATCATTTGCTATAATGATCCCAGCTTCTCTACGCCACGCTTGCCAAGTGAAAGAAGCCTTTCCCTCAGAGCTGCCCAGCAGCTACACCCAACGGCAGAACTGTACTGTTCTTGCTCCAGGGGGACCTTGAGGACCAGGAGGACAAAGTCCAGTTCCAAACCACGACAGAAATTAGTAACCGCCACGTCAAGCTTCAGCAACAGCCCCGTGCTGCAGCTGTGGTAAGCTGTGCACAGCTTGGCACATTTTCAGCACTCGGGTAGGATTAGATGTGGGTTCAGCATTCAGGTACATTCAGATGTGGAAGATGCCATGGGCTGTATTCACAAAGCAACTTTACTGCAGGGACTGCGGTAAATGCAGCATTCATATTGATGGTCATCCTTACAGGTGGATTAAACCTCCAGATTCTAGACATCTCTGAGGAAGATGAGCTCTCTGCTGTCTTGATTTTCAGTGGGATGATCAGTCTCTTCTCCCAAGTAACAAGCAATAGGACAAGAGGAAACAGCCACGAGTTGCGCCAGGGGAGGTTTAGGATGGATATTAGGAAAAATTTCTTCACCGAAAGGGTTATCAAACATTGGAACAGACTGCCGAGGGAAGTGGTGGAATTGACACCTCTGGAGGCCTTTAAAAGATGGGTAGATGTGGTGCTTAGGGACATGGTTGAGTGGTGGTTTTGGCAGTCTTAAGTTGATGGTTGGACTCAATGATCTTAAAGGTGGCTTCCAACCTAGACAATTCTATGATTCTGTGATTAGGACTGTGTAACAATGTCATCCAGCAGTGAAACGGCAGACTCAAAACAATGGCTGGTTTCAACAAAAAATGATGAAGCAAGAAGAAACCAATATTCGATGATAACAACTTCACTCATTTTTAAATCCATCACTCTTGTCTAGGGGACAGCCACAAAAAACTGCAGAAACTCTTTCTAGTTTTAAGATCGTCAAGTTTCTTGGAGCTACACAAGACCTAGTTAAAAGCTGGGTTTGGATGAGAACTGTTTGTTAATACTGCCTGCTGACTGATTCCTACACTGGTGAGAACCAGCTTACTCCAAACAAGTGTTATTAAACAGAATCTGCTGGTTTTGACAAAGTTTTGTGAGGAAACGAAGAGTCAGTCAGGGTAGATTAAGTTGCTCAAGTGGTTCTATTAGATCTTACAAGAGACACTACAGCAGTTACTTCACGTGGGCTCTCCTAGCCAGAACAGCCAGTGCTGATTTGTCATTTGGCCTGCTCAAAGGATCTAATGATTATTAAGAAAGCTTAAAGAACACTAATTAAGCACTCAGCACCAGGGCAAGGAAATTCCTTGTATAGATCTAAGCTGGTGATTGAAATCCTCCCTTGTGTTGTGAGGACAAGAGTGGTACAATGCTAATGGCACTGCAATATTGCCCAGCCACGCCCTGCTTTTCTCATGATTTGCTTTTGGATGTCTGAGAGATGTTGAGAAGACCTGACACAGTTCAACGAAAATCAAATGAAAACATGACATGAATCAGGGTGTTGCTCTTTCTCCTAGCACATGTTCAGAAGAGCCAACACCATTACCAAGAATTCCTTCCAGGAAGCAATAAAGGCAGCAGTGGGTGATTTATGAAGACTTGGCAATTCATTCCTTGGCCCTAAAAACTGGAAACTGACACAACAATAATATTTCTTTTTTTAAAAGGAAATCGTTCTCCCAGGCTTCCCAGTTCCCATCTATACCACACCTTTCTCACACAGTCCTGCATATGGTAAAGGACATGACCGTGGTTTATTAAATACGGAATAGCTCCTCTCCTATGGCAATAGCGTGAGTTGTGGATTTCACTCAGGTCCGTTCTAACCTCCTTTTGCCATGGCTGTGGACAGAATGGTATTTTTGGGTAGTGTATAAGAAAATGCCTTGAAAAATTAAAGTAGGTGCAATCTCGCAAATACACTTAGCCTTTAGAAAACACTGAGGATCTGAGTGGTGTACATGGGTCTCTCTGAACTGACACAGAAACGCACAACCTTGCTGCTGAGGTTGTCCAGCCATGATAAACATGGCTCACAAAAAATAACACAAGCAAGTATAGTTGATAAGCACGAGGCATTTTTCGTCAGTAGATTATTTTTCTATGGGATCAATGTGGTGCATCAAGGCATGCTCCAGCCACACCAGGTGAGGTCCAGCAAAGGGGGGCCCTGAAAAAACACCCTAGCGAAAGGTGGAGGAGCAGGGCTGCTTCCTCTAACATAAGCCTGCAGCTAGATTGGAGTAAGTGTAACACAAAACCACATAAGGGCTGGCTTGCAGGAAAAGGAGGTCCTCGAGATTAGTTTATTGTCTCTCTCATTTATTGCTTTCCTTAGGCAGCTGTACTGGGATGTAGAAGACTGTCTGGCGTGAAAGTTCAGAGATGGAATAATTAGATTCAACGGCATGATTACGGATTTTATGTGTGAGGCACCTTTGATTGTGGAAAAAGTTAAAGCATGTTCTCCATAAAGCTTGGGAGGTTTCTCATAACGCTAGTAGAAGTAGGTAGATGAAGAGATGTTAAATTCCTAATTGTTTCTTTTATCTTTCCTGTGATAGAGACAGAGTTCTGTTTTAAAGACGTACCAAAAACCAGGTCTTTCATCTGGAGTGTAAAATTCATGTGTTCCCTGACCTCGTGTGTCACATGGTAATGAAACAACGTAAATCAGAAATGTTAAAAGTTGAAGTTTGTTAATATTACTGCTGAAGCTCCAATCTCTTTCCCGGTTAAACTGACAGATCCATAGTCCAAATATATATATTTACAGATTACAGCGACACAAAGAAAAAAAAATTAATGGACGCCCAATGAGAAACAAATGGAAATGCAAGTTTCAGATGACTATCTAGAAACTAAAAATAAAAACACAACAGAACACAACCAAAACCACTTGCATGTATTTTAAATGGGGTAATGGACTTTCTTTGTATTGTACTACCATCTTACTCCTAAGAAAATACTTTGGTGACTTACACACTGTGGGGAAAATTTAGTAAATAGCATATATTTTGCATTCTCTTATCTATGTTTCCTTCTCACTTTTTTAGCTGTCTGGGCTGAAGCAGTCACCAAGATACAGGAAAGTATCTTCCCTAGTTAAAGAAGACATTATATACTGATATTTGGGGGTCCGTAAACAAAAGAAGATGGACCTCTATCACCCTCTTCATTTGTTCCCACCCTTGCCAGTCACTTCAGAACAACTGGATGAATTTAATGTAGACCAGAGGTGGCAAAAGCTCACAAAGCAACACGAAGACGCTGGGGAGACTGGCCAGCCCAGCCTTGGGACACCATCAGCAAGGTGGTTTTTTTTCAGGTGTGCAGTGGCCTGGGATTTATTAAAAATAAAAACCAACTTCCCGCTTTCCCCCTCTCTCCTCCCATAAAATCCATGGGGAGTCTCAAAGAGAATCTGAAAACAGGGACATTACCATATAGCTCATTTCACATAGAGAAATGCAACTCGTTAACTCAAAAAAGTCAAGACTACGCCAAAGCATACTGCGCACTTGAGATAATCATAGGCAAGTCCCATATTGCAGTTTTTTCCCCATATTAAATGGATTGTGAAAGCAACTGGAAACTAGTTCACATTCATTTATGTGAACTACTGCTCTCCAAATCCCACCCCACAAAAAGCCCTACTCTTTCTCCAGCAGACAACAGAAAGGAAGCCAGTCTTGAAGGTAGAAGGTGAAATCCTGGCTCCATTGTATTCATTTGCCAAATCTGAATTGACTTCAACAGAGCCAGGATTTCCCCCATAAAGACTTAGCTATAGTAAGCAGGGGAACATCTAAATGGCAGAGTAGAAAACCAGGTTATGGAGACTTCAGATCCCATTTTGTACTCCCAAGCCAAGCACCACAGTAACGCACGACATGAGAATATTGCCTTGGCTGAGTTTGTAACAATCAGTTTTCCAACTCAAAAGATTCACGTTAGTACTTAAGTTTCTACAGGTAACCCTCCTAACAGAGGAATCAAATGTAACAGAGATGAAGTGCTTCTTTCATCTTTACAGACAGTCTCTTGAGAACAACTATCACTGCTACATCTGGTGATTCTGGAGCTACATCAATTTTATTTTCCTTTGTAACCTATTACTGACCCAATTTTCTCTACTATTAGCGCTATCCTGACCATCCTGCTTCATGCTGCTGTAAAGGTACCTCTCCAAGTGAAAGACTGAGTCAGTGTGAACTGAGGGAAAAAAACAAGCAAAAAAAAGAAATTCTTCATCAGAACAAACACAAGCAGCCAGAAATAAGAAAAAACACATAAGCAACAACTGAATCCATGCAGAACAATGCACTGATTGAGAGAGTTCAATCAGCGCTGCTTCTAGCACCATATTTAGGGCCGTAATTCCCACAGTACTTCTAAAGAGTATTTTCATGCAAGACACGAAAGTTATTATTTCTTTCTTAATCCTTCCTTCAGTTCCTAACCCAGGCCTCCATATGTGCTAATTGGGATGCATGAAAACTCAATAAGTAATGTGATTTTCCTGGGTTTTGTTTTCTTAACTGCTTGAATTCTAAAAAAGCATCTACTTTTTTCTCCATTATCAGATACAATGCTGTAGCATGGACACAGCATCACCACCCGGGATGCAAATCTTAAAGCTATCAGTGAGTAATGCTAACAGCCAAAACTCAGTATCTATGGGCACATTGAAAGACTGTGTTAGAATTACTTGGCGTGGCTGCATATGGGGAAAAAAAAAATTATTCTTCTTCTGTCACATTACCTATTTTACCTCGAAGTTATCTTACTATCTTATTTATTTACTGTATTTTTTAATGTTTACTATAAGACTAATTTTACTATAGCATTATTATTTACATGGCTTTTCTTGTATCCCTTATCAATTTGAATGACTTAAATGATCTTATGCCATTATGTAAGTACTGGAATACACATAAGATTACACAGGAACACAGCACATAAACTAAGAGACAAATCTCAAAACTGTATTTCGCATACTCACTTGAATAAAGGAGTCCCACAAACAACACATTTGTATATTCCTTGAGCTTTATGATGTGTGTACTCCCCCTCAAAGGCACTGGGAAAACAACAACACTACATTTTAAAAATAAATAAAGGCATTTTGTTGTGGTTTTTTTAAATTATTAAATTAGCTAAGACTTTAGAAAAATGTTACAGAAAAACCCCACGATGTAGAAGCTGGTAGTTGTTTTTTATTAAAGGCAGCAGATAAGGCAGACACAGGAAAAGGGGGATGTCCTCTTAGTGTGCCTCAGGTGTTACGTATCATGCGAGAGGAAGCGAATTGTCCCACAGTTCAAAGGACAGAACAACAACAAAAAAAGGGGAAAAACGGGAATCTTCCCCTAGTTGGCAAGTGAAACGTAAGGACTGCCTGACGCGTAGCCCAACCCGAGGCCCCTCTGGAGGCCTGTGGTCGGCAGCGTGTGGGCGGTGGGGCAGCGGTGCGCAGCGCCGGGTGCCCTTCGCCATGGCGCTGGGTCAGGCCACCACAGCCGGCCGGGGCGATAGCGGCGTTGTAGCTGAAAATAAAATAATTGGTCCACGATTTCAAGTTGTGCGCGCCTTATATTTTTAGCTGAAAAGCAATATTACAGCTTTAAGGGAATATTTTTCTAAGTTAACAATCTAAAAGGCTAGGAGGTCATTCATCTAATACGAATCAGCTGCACTCGCCCAACAAAAAGCCTATGTGCTCGGCAGCTTGTTTTTATTATCCTTTCACCCTTTTTATGAGGTCCAATTTTTTTTTTATAAACAGGATTTTTAAGAATGACCTAATCTCCGATTGTTTGTGTGCATTAAATCACGTTGTTGGTCCCGTACACAAGAGGGAGGGAGGGCTGGGGGGGAAGGCAGGCCTGTCGGCAGAGGCCAGCGTCCCCCGGCCCCACCGGGGCTGCGGGAGGACGAAGGGGGCCGGGGCAGAGGGAGAGGGGGACCCCCGGCAAACGGGGCCACAGGTAGGCGCTGTCAGGAGGGGTGCTGCCCATTAACCGGGACCCCACGTGCGGTGGCAAACGCGTTTGGGCCATGAATGAAAACACGCAGTTACATCATTAGGACGTTCGGAGCAGAGGTAAAGCCAGGGCCTCATGCCAAGCTCGATGGTATAAATTAGACAACAAAAAATGGCTGGGCCTTGGCAAGTTAACTTCATGCTGGAATCAGCTGAGAGAGAGACTTTATTCACTAAAAACAGTCTTGGAAGAGAGTCCTTTTTTTTTTTTTTTCCCTTTTTTTTTTTTTCCCTTTTTTTCCCTGCAGGACTAGGGGCTGGCTTCCAGCGACTAAAGCCATGTGAGGGCAGTTATTGAAAATTTTTGACATTCCAACCACAAATGAGCCAATAAATACCTTCTCCACATGTGCTTCAAAAAGAAATTGGAGTGGGGTGGAAAAGAACTAAATTATGCTACCTTCTTTCTGCAGCCAAAACGTCTATACTTACAATGGCCACCTTCAAAACTCCAGCCTCCTGGCACAGGGCCATTTCCCTCGTGGTTCTGCTTACTGCGATGTCTTCCAAAAAAAGTGTACCTAAACCACTATTACTTCCACACATTTTGTAGTAAACTAAAAACAGACTCTAAACATGAGCCCGGTGACTTTATAAGACATGCAGTGTTCATTAAAAGAAAAAGTCGCACAAGACCCCTGGCCTCGGCCCCGTGCTGCAGATGCTTGTCTTTGCAGTGGTGTTAATTTGTAGGGGTTAGTAAACAAGTGCAGAAATCCTGGGGGGGAAAAAAAAAAAAAGCAACTTGGTGGGGAAGGTGAGGAAGCACCGGTAAGAGGAGGGGGAGAAAAGAAAGATGCCTGTGCGTCAAGGACTGTTTCCTTCGTCCTGCCTTACCTTTCAGTCCCCTTCTCCTGAGTGACATGGTACTGCAAGGGCGTCAGCCGCTTCCTCAGCTCCTCCTGGGAAAAGACCACCTTACAGTCCTTTTTATCCCTACATGACCCTGCAAAGGGAGAGGATATGGGAGAAGGAGCCTTTTTAGCTTAAATCCTGAATAATTGCTTTGGCAGACGGCCACAGCATAGCTTCTGCATTCACTTGTCAATGACCAGACCGGTCCCTAATGCACGAAGAATGGCTCAGCTGAACTGCAGCTGATTATTTCTTCCAATCCAAGTTTAAAAAAGAATTTTGCTTGAGAGCCAGGTGATTCCACTGGAGCAGTGACAATGTGCTACAGCCAAAGCCCTTTGGTGTGTTATACACTAAACTGTTGCGCACACAATCATTCACAAGAAAGTAACATTTTTCCAACTGTTAAAAAAAAAAAATCCACAAAGAAATCCCAACTACAGCTGAAACATTCTTTACAAGACATCTATATTGGAGACTTACGGTAATGGGCATATGATGTTCAGCCACAACATCCAACAATTGCATTACCCTTTAAAGTAGGCGAAAACCAATTCTAAGTCTTTAGAATTCCAATAAGGTTGATTTAGCTTCTAGTCGCATCCTCATCCTTTTACTTTATAACATTAACCATTGTATTTTTTTCACTGTTGAAGCCCTAGAATAGCAGCCCTGAGGAGCAAGTAATTTCTTTATGCACAAAGCTGTACAAGGTTCAACAATAAACTTCTCATAAAAATTAGGGTTGCAATTGAAATTACCCTCTTTTGAAAATCTCGTCTTATGTTTTGCTTAGTTCACACAGAAAATCCAAGGAGTACATAAGGATTACTGTAAAAAAACACATTTGTATAGTGCAGAAATTCACATCACATCAGGAAAGAAAAAATAACAATAAGGTTGCTTTTGAGAATGAAAACTCCCAAAGTAATAACAGAAATTGCCAAATATTCAAGTAACTTTGATAATAGCTTGCAAAAATTAGCTGACAAAATATGGCAGGGGAAAAGCACTCTAATTGTGAGAGTAATTAAAATATGGTACAATTAGAAATAAACAGTCCTGACAAAAATATTTTTTGCTAGTAATGTATATACACTCATAAAAAGACCAATTGTGTTCCCAAAGTAGAGGGAACAGACCTACCCATCTGTATGTCATTTAGTACAGGAGAGGCAATGGCAGGTTTAAATTACATGGTATTGGATTGCAATTTCCTAACATTGGATGCTTTTCTGCTTTTTTACCTTGAGTCATTACTAAGGAGTGTTCATAAAAAGTAGCTTAAAGCACAGATGCTTGCAAATCATTTAAGAAAAGATGTTTCTTTCTTCCTCCCCCTCTTCTTTTCTCATTTTTTAATGTGTGGGGGTGGGTGAATAGGGGAGAGAGAAAAAGAATAATGCTGTTGGTCACTACCAACTAACCCTAGGAAGTATTTTTAGGAAGAAAAAAGTAAAATTGAAAACATCTGATTGAAGTAAATAGTGCAAACATAAAAAGCTTTACTAGTGAAAGAAAGGTATTGAAAAGCGACTTTATTTCATAGATTAGAAATTACTTTTGATCTAAACATTCTTAAAAACAGATTGTTTTCCACTCTGAGCCATCTCATTAGCTGTGCTGCAGAGCCTTCGTTTTAATGGCAAGCTTTGAAAGAGCGCTGCTGTATGCCTTTGTTAGCTTCAATCTTATTTGGGAGAGGGATAAAGATTTCATTCCAGGTCTCTTTGTTTGTCTTTCAAGAACCACTAAAGCAGTATTCACACAAATTTTGCAGGAATGTGCCCTGTGCCATAGCTTACAAATTATTTGGTTTTGGTGCACTTAAAGGTCACCTTCCAAATTAGCAAAATTTTCCTACATCCTGGCTTTTCAACCTTAAATGTAAATATTGTTTCCTAACTGTAAGTGAGGTTTGTTCTTTATAACATTTGGTTGCTTATTTAAAGATGTCAAACTTTGGAGGTTTTTATTCTCCGAACGTGCTGGGCTCTAGGACTAATAAGTCTTTCAAAGTATAGCTAACAGGGAAAGGAAGCATGTGCATTATATAAATAGCTATTGTTGTGTTGCATTACGCAGCTCAGAAAGAAACTGTTTGAGAGACAGTCTTTCGCCTAGTATTTCAGTACTAAAAAAGCAGTCTAGAGAGCAGCAAAGAATCTTACAAACCAACATCGCTTCACTTTTAATAGTATCTTCCAATTATTTTTTTTTAATTCTATTTGTTCTTTAGATGTTGCAAAAAAAAAAAAAAGCAAACTAAGTGTGACTTCACTTTGGAAAAAGTCAGAGAAAATATTGAATGTTTTAAAGAATGGTCACTATTCCCTCGAGTATTTTTTTCATCTGTTTTGGAAATTTAGTTTTTTCAATCAATGGGTTCACTATACGCACAAGAAAATTTCTATATGCCGCTTGATCCACAACATACATCAGAAGTAGGGAGTATGTTGTAAAAGATTTTTTTCCCCATTGTTTTTAATAATTAACTGGGTGTTTTACAATACAGACAAGTATTTATGTCTACAGGGGAATTTTGCCAAACTGCACTGGGGTAAACTGCAACATACCCCAACAAAGGGCTCTCTGGGTTTGTAATTTAATGGAGTATACATCAGCAAAAAGCTATAGTTGCACTATAAATCCTAAAAGAAATCTCTTGGTCCAGCCCTCAGCATTCAAGAACAGCCCTATTCAATTAATTGCACTTATTATTTAACTGCTAGCAGCAAAAAAAACAGCTCAGTAAATTGATTGCACTATTTCCATATTGCCAAAGAGCCAGGAAGGTAAAGCAAGACTCACCCCTGACTGCAGAGGATGTAAGGATATATTAACTGAAACAGGGCTAGCCTACCAGCCTCGATAAAATGCCATGAATCCTAAAAATTACAGGATGAGATTGTAGCAATACAGTCATTCAGTTACAAAAAAAAAATAACATGCATGAGGGATAAAAGTGCTCAACTTGCAGTAGAAGAGTGGCTGCTTCCGTTTTTTCAACTGTTCCTTTACGGCACATAGGAGATGTCTGCTATATTCAAGCCAACTGTTTGTATCGTGGGTGGGGACAAAGCTATGCAAGTATACATCCAATACGAGAGAAACTGCCGCTAGTAATGCCGCTGTTACCACACTCGTTATTAAAGCAGAGAATAAAGGTGCAGGCTGGTCACCTTCCTCAGCCTGGTTCCCCATAAAAGGGACCGGGTATGGGCTGTGGAAAGGGTTCCCATACAGGCAACAAACTTCTTCAGCAACTCAGGCATTAAGGCAGGCTCACAGTTCATTTGCAAATTATACAGTTCAAGGCAGAAGAGAAAAAAAGGTCATTGGTTTTACAAACAGCATGACATCACTGTGATTACATTTAAGGTGAGAGTAAATTAAATACACTGTGAGACTAATGGAGTCTGGATACATTGGATCTATATTAGGACTCTGGATTGGATCTCACTTGTTCTTTGCAGGTGATGCTTTCAGCAATGACTTTTAGAAGAACTTGGGACAGCTATGTTCCTTAACTCCAGTTAGATCCTGCTGTTAGGAGAGGGCAGACAAAATTCTCTTTAGATTCCACTGCAGGATTGGAGACCAAATTAAATCCCTCTGATCGGCGGAGCTTGGTGCCTTCATTGGGGTCAGCGCTCATTAGAAGAGCAGTGCGCACACAACTGTTCCACAAACAGGCACCAGCGTTTCCACTTGAGGCCACCTGCCTTCAGCCTTTTGCCAACAGTTACAGCAGTCCCAAAGCTGTTAAGATCCTGGAGCAGGATGGAAGGCTTCGTGAAGAAAAGGTGCCAGGCTCACAAATCTTAGTGCATAAACATAAAAAAAAGCTGAGGAGAGTGAAACACCAAGAGAAACCCTGTTGGAGCCTTCATGGCGTTCCTCTGCTTAGGAATGGCTTTTCTGAAAAGCAATGCAAAGCACACTGCCATTTACTATTCACCCACAGACTACGGGCATTTCAGAGTTCGGCTCTTTGAGTCCTCCTCTGTACAAATGAATTGAACAGAAAGTATTTTCTGGGTGTTGACCTGATAATGAAGACATTAAGCATCTCACCTCACATATAAATCCCAATTTCAATTGACCTTTTCAAATCTGTCGTTCGTAACGCAGGCGTGTGCCATTTCCTTCCCTATAAGCAATCACAAGAAAACTAGCAACAAGATATGTCCAGACAGACGGACACAAGTTAGCAGACCGTTACTCCTCACCACTCAGCCCTTCACCTGCTCCAGCGTGCTGGAGGGTGGCGATTAGTGTCTGACATGCCCTGAAATATGGTGGCATTTTGCCTGATGGCTTTCCTTCTTCAAATAGTCTTTTGAACCATTCTAATGATCTTGTCTTATGTTTTGTTGCTTCCTATCACTGAAATTAACGCAGTATTTCAGCTGCATGGAAGACACAGCATACATTTCCCCCCTTCTATGTATGCTGATGTTCCACTAGCATTAATGGACATTACAGTCATGCACCGAGCACATACCATTAAGACTTCCTGAATTAAATACAGCAAGATCAAATGTTCCAGCAGAGCACAGCCATGTAATAAATCGGGCTTCTAGTTTTCAGTACTACTTCTTTTAATATACCCAAGCAGTTTTTTAGGGGGCTTCCAGCACATTTTATTATTCATATACCACCCCAGCCCCAATCCTGCAATGTGACCTGTGTGGGCAGACCCTTGAGACTACGCATAGCTCCAACAACTACATAAGGGTCTACGAATGTAAATCAGATGACAGGATCTGGCTCTAAGTATGCATCTCTCCTCAAAGCCTGTCCCCTCACGAGTGGGTAACACCTTAGTCATCAATGGTAAATTATCTCAAACTGACCTTAAGAGGAATCCTGCAAGGTTAAAAAATATTTGCATACTTTTCTTTAAATAAATATCCTTACATATGCTATCACTAACATTCAGTATTACTAAAAGTGGAATCTCTCGTTTTTATTATTTCAAATTTCATTTACACAGTTTATTCCTCGTTTACAGTTATGTCTCTCTCCGTCCATAGGAAAAAGCAAACGCACAACTCTCTATTTCACTTCTGTTTAGTCCATTCTCTG